ATTCTTTTCCATGGTTCTCACATGCCAAAGCTGATGCAGAGTCCTTGTGTGCAGAATCCATGATGGTACCACCACAGCCAAGAGCCAAGAAAGGGTAAAAGTGAAAGGAAGGTACCTGCCCTCCTTTTGAGAAAAGTAATTGCACAACCAATTCTACTCACAACCCATTGGCCAGAACGTAGTTACATGACCCAGACACAGGAACCTGGGAAATGTAGTCCTTGCTCTGAGACCATGAACTGGTGAATTCTGTTATTATGTGTACATACAGGATAGATATGAGGGATCAGAAACAAAATTTTAAAAGGAAGGCATTGGCAGATGACAATACCAATGATCGCACACAGTAATGAACTGAGGAGCAGAATGGAGGCCCTGGAGTGTTCATAAGATCTGTCCAGCAGAATTTCAGAACTGCTGCAGACTAGATTTTATGTTTCTCTCCTAGTCTTCTTCTTTGCAAGTGGGATTATGGGTGTGAGACCCTGAACTCACTAATAGATGTTGGAAATTGAAAGAGACAGATACGTGTCTCTGTTCTTCTGTAGACTTACTGTTGAGAGTTACACATCACTTCTTATATAGAGATTCTTCCATATCCCTAGCACCCCCCAAAAAAGACCTTTGGCAACAACATAGACTTTTGATTTTAATTTTCAAGGTGCTTACCCTCTTTAAACCTAAGTTTTTTTGTTGTCATTTACGAAATCTTTTCATATATCTGAATTAGGGAGATAGCTATGGATTTTCCCTAAAATGCTAGCTTTTGCATAAAATTCATGAGATGAATCCAAAGATAATTACACATATCTGTCAGGGTTCCTGAAATATTAACTGAGTCCAAGTTGACCCTGCAGTGGGAATAGTCTCTCCCCAGATTTGATGTATTAGCGGGGTATTTTGCAGCTGTTTTACTCCTTGGAGGATGGCTGTATTTTCCAGCAGGAAGGAGAATGCACTGTGTTTTAGGTGATCAGATGGTGGATTCTGATACCAATGATGAGGGTTCTCCATCTAATATTTTCATCTGTATTCCCCCCAGGCTCAGGCACAAGGCCACTTCTCTGCATCCCCTGCAGTTAGCAGGCCTGCAGACCTTGCTTTGACTGGAAAGTGAGTCACAGTGATCTGTGCCTATCTGTGATTTGTTACTTTCACTTCCCACTACAGGAACAAGATGAAGCCTCCCTCAGCCCACCACGAGCTGAACCCCTTTCAGATCTGTGTGTGGTATGAGCAGGAAATAAATTTCATTGTGTAACCACTTTTAAGAGCTGTTTGTTACTACAGCAGGAGCTAGCCCCACCCACTCCAATACACATCAGGGAGGGAGGAAATTTCAGTTTTGAGATCAAATTAGGGTTTTGGATTTCCCATGAAGAAAACCTCAGATCACAAGCAATGCATGTGGGTATAGAAGAATGAGCTAGATGGTTGCTGGAAGTTTTGTTTTGACTCAGTTTTAGGCTTGGACACACCCATCCCTTGAGTTCAGGATGGGGGCCAGATGGCAAGGGTGGGGCTTTGTGGTGGTGCATATGACTCCCCTCACTGCCAGGAAGCAGAGAGACAAGAAAGCGCCCGAGCTCAGAGCTCACGGTCAGGTTGGTCAGGTTGGTCTTCGGAGTATACTCCCAGTGACCCAGTGACCGAGGTCTCCCTAGCACCAAGCCCTTTAACACATGGGCCTTGGAGGTCATCCGACAGACAAACTGAATATCCACTCAGCCTCAGCAGACCACAGTGCAATCAATTACACCCAAGTTCAAGTCACCAAGGAGCCTGGTGAGAAGGTCCTGGTCCTTTACACATGTGGCCCAAGTCTGTCCTGCAGCGCTAACACTCTCCATAAAATTCTTCTCACCGGGAAAGACATCCCAAGAGGATAGCCAGACAGGCTGCACAGAACTGGGAGATGACTAGAGTAGGCACCACGACAGCTGGGAGGTTCTAGAAACCTACAGCGATGGAGCCAGACCTTAGGACATGGTGGGGGGTGTCAGACAGTGATACAGAAGGCTGGGAAGAGTTCCTAAGGTCATCCTTCCATGCTTGGGCTATCTTGGAGTGAGGGGTCATTATGGAGGGTGCTGCCAGGTGAACCCCCAAATCTGGAACCCTAAGAGTTTGGCGAAGCAAATTCCTTCAGTAGTTGAAGATCATAAGGAATATATGGTGACTACCTGGGTCCCCAGGATTTTGGACTTATTTGCCTCCCCTCTTTCCTTTTTGTGGGGGGAGGATGGGAGTACTGGGGGATTGACCCCAGGGCCTTTGCACTGAGCTACATCTCCAGCTTTTCTTCTTGTTTTTCAATTGTGAGACAAGGTTTCACTAAGTTGCTAAACTGTTCGGGCTGGGCTTGTACTGGTAACCCTCCTGCCTCAGTCTCCTAGAGTATTAACATTATAGGCCTGCACTGCCACACCCTCTGGGTTGACTACCCTGTTTCTTTTATTTTTGGTACCAGGGATCGAACTCCAGTCCTTGTGCTTGCAAGGCAGGCAGCGGAACCACTCTTTCACACACACACACACACACACACCCACACCCACACACACCACTGTCAGCAAATCCTGTAGGCTCCAACTGTCTCTCATTTGCATCTCCTTCTTTCCACTCTAGTTCAGCCACCATCATCTTTCACTTTCAGACGGTGAAACTGTCCAATTTCAGGGTCTAAAAACAAAGCTTTCTTAGATCATGGTCACTCACACAACCCGAGTGCAGTCTGCAAAGCGATTTCAGGTTCAGGGTGAGCTGTCTGGGGGGGCTGGGCTGTGGCCCTATGGTGAGCCCTTTCCTAGCTACACAAGCCCTGAGCTGCAGCCCCAGCTGAGCGCGTGCACACACGCGCGCGCGCGCGCGCGCACACACACGTGCACGTGCACGCGCATGCGCGCGTCGCCCTGGCATAAATCCTACAAGGTTCAAAGTGTCTCTCCATCCACAGCTCTCCAGAGAATTCCTTTCCCGGGGCTGCCATCACAAAGAAACAACTTATTTGCTCCCTGTCCTGGAGGCTGAAGGTTGAAATCAAGGTGTCAGCGGGCCGACTGGCTGAAGGCTCTAGGGAGGGATCTTTCCCTGCTCTTGCAGTCATGAGCAGAGGTCAGCTCCACTGCCAGATCTCTGCTTTTCTCCTCACAGGGCCGGCTCCCCTGTGTCTCCCAACTTTCTCTCTCCCTCTCTCTCTCTCTCTCTCTCTCTCTCTCTCTCTCTCTCTCTCTCTCTCTCTGTCATTCTGGTCTCACCAAGTTGCTAAATTGCCCAAGCCAAGCTGGGACTTGCAGTCCTCCTGCCTCAGCCTCCTAGAGTGCTGGGATGACAGGCCTTTGCCACCACAGCTGACTTCTCTGTTCTTAGAAGGAACGAGTCATTGGATCTAGGGTCCGGCTTGTCCATCCTAGGTCTAACTACATCGGCAAGGACCCTCTACTCAGCTGAGGTCACGTTCGAGGTTCCAGGGGACTCGCGCTTTGGGAGGACGCTGTTCAGCCCACTAAGCCGCCAGACAGGGGTCTCCAAGGACGAAGGGCCCTGTGGAGAACGGACGCGCGGTGCCAGATCGCTGTAGGAGCCACCACGCGAGGGCCATTTGAACTCAGTGCACGCGGCAGGGCTGTCAGCTCGTCCCCCTGGTGCAGTCGGCAGGGGACAGGAGCGCACCACCCTTCCGGAGCCCTGCCAGGCGCTTGCTGCGCTGTCCCCCTAGGACCCAGCACAGCGTCTGGTCGTAGATGCTCAGGCAGGGTTGGTGAATGAATGAATGTGTGCCAAGAAGCCAAACAAGATGGGATTGCCCTGTATCTGGGGAGAGGGGGCAGACAGGACAAGGCAGGTAATCCCCACCCTATCCACTCACCTCATCCCTCTGGGCAGGAGGGGATCAGAGAACCCAGAAGGGGACTTCCCTGCCATGAGAAGACCGAGGTCTTCCCCTCGGTCGGTCGGATATCCCCAGAGAGGTCCCCAGTGAATCAGGCCCGGCGGCGGCGAGCCCAGGACTGGGGGGAGGGGGGCGGCGCTTCCCTCCCCTTTTGTAGCCGCGGTGCAGGGCGTCTCTGAGCCGAGCGCGATGGAGGAGGACACGGCGCGCTGCGCGGTGCCCAGCTTGTCCCGGGCCGCCGGCCGGCGCCTGGCCTGGGTCCTGGTCATCTGCCTGGTGGCTTCGGTCTCCTACTTGGTCTCCTACTTCCACTGCACCCAGCGCTGCGAAGGGCAGCCTCGCCCGCTGGAGCCCCAGGTGAGTGGGGCGGGGACGGCGCTGCAGCACTGGCCGGGGAAGCTCGGAGAAGACGAGCTCGGAAAGAGAAAGAGGTGGTGGGAGGGAGAGGCCCGGCCGGCCGAGGCCGGCAGGGAGCGGGAGGGCCGGGGAGACTCCTGGGCAGGGCGAGGCCCCCACCGCGCTCCCTGCAGACGACGCAGCTGGGCCTCCCGGGGCCCGCAGGCAGCAGCGACCCCAGGACCCGGGTCCGATCGCGGGACCGGGCGCGAGTTCCAAGAAACCGGCCGAGGCCTCCCCTGCGAGCTCCCTGCCGGTCCGAGGCGATTTTCTCTTTGAAAGAGAACGGGGCGCGCTGAGGCCGGAGGGTGGGGAACGAATCCGACAACGGAGGTTACAGGTTGCGTGGTTTCTCTTAGATGAGGAACGCAAAGGATACATAACTTAAGACGAAATAAAAGAAAGGTGATGGGAAACGGGGAGGTGGACTGTGGGGAGGGGAGGGGACCCGGGCGGGAGGAGATGGGAGGGAGGGAAGGGGGAGCGAAAACGAGCGACAGGCGAGCTGTGTACGGCTCCCCAGTCAGTGCGTTCGTCAGGGCTCTCAGACGCGCACTAAGAGCAAAGGAAGAAAAGAAAGAACACAGCGTCTCTATTCCCAGTGGGAGGAGAGGTTGGCTGGAGGAAGAGAGGCTTAAGGGACATCGCAAAACCCCGGGCTTACGTCCTCTCCCTGTGTTCTGATCTTTTCTTCCAGAGGGACGCAGCGGAGCTGCAGCTGAACCTCACAGGTGACGGGGCTCCCCGGGTGGAGAGAGAGGGAGAGAGAGGTGGGAATACACGACTGTAACCCTAGCACTCTGGGAGGCTGAGTCAAAGGATCAAAACTCCCCGCCCAGCCCAGGCAACTTGGAGAGACCTGGTCTCAGCAGAAAAGCAGAAAAGCTGGGGGTGCAGTTCAGTGAAAAAGTCCTGGGTTCAATCACCACTACTGAAAAAGAAAAAGAAAAAGGAAGGAAGGAAGGAAGAAATGAAGAGGGCAGTGGCGTGTTCCCCATCAGCTCTTCGGCTCCTCCCTCATCCTCTCGGTTCTGCACTTTTGACCACCCCCTTGGGAAAACCAAAAGCAACTAAAACAGCCCCAGGGACATTATTGTAATATTCCCTCATTCGCTCCGGAGTCGGGAAGCGCGTCACCAGTGCAGACACCGCAGCAGGTGCTGCAGCTGTGAGCAGAGCCGGCGAGGTCCGGCCTCTGTTTGTCCCTCCCGCCCAGGGGTGACAGCAAATCCAAAGGCCGAGGAGCTGGGCGGAGCCTCCCATTCCGGAACCCCCAGCTCCCTGCCCCGCACTGCACACAAACAGCTGAGCAAGCGAAAGACAGAGTCACGCCGGGTGGAGTAAGCGGGCAGAGAGGATGTTTGGGAGGGAAGGTAAGCCTGGGGGAGCTGGGGCGCCCCAGGGGGCGTTGGAGTTTGGGGAGCCGCAGAGCAGCCCAGGGAAGTGAGGGTAGGGGTCCTGCTGGGGAGGCCTCGCCTTCCCCTCCCTGCCGCCCTTTCCCCTTTCCGGAAAGGTGGCCCTGCAGCTGACCCTTTCTGTCCCGGAGGGGACCTCTGCTTCTCCCCCGGGGACCTCTGCAGCTCTTTCAGTCCTAGCACGTGCGCGTGGCTGGTTTCTCTTCCTGTCGCTGTCCCTCTCCGTCTCCTCCCCTCTCCCTCTCTTTCTTCCTCCTGTTCCCCACCACCACCACCACGACGCAAAAAGTGCACACAATCTACCACTTCCGGGTCCAGCACATCTGGTTGTGGGTATTTACAAGGCTTCACCCGGCAGATGGCCCGATGCCCCCTGCCAGGAGACTGGCTCACAATGACAGCTGCCCTCAGCTGAGCCGAGTCCACCTTATTGACACCGAGATGACGATCGTGTAGGAGGACCCGGCAGAGAGAATAGTCAGGACCCGGAGTGTGGCCAGGCAGCATGCAAAGGAGGTGGCTCACGAAACCCGTGGGATAAAAGCAGCAGTTTGAGCACACAGGGCACACGGCAGGGCTAAAGCAGGAGAATCTGAAGTTCAAGCACAGCTTGGGCAAGTTAGCGGGATACTGACTTAAAATTTTTTAAAAGTGCGATGTAAATATTCACAGATGTGTGGTCCTAGGGTTGCCTCTTTTCTTTCCCTGTCTCGTGTGTTTCTTTTGCTAGCCAGTTCCTCAGGAAAAAGTAGAGTAGCCGATGCGGTGTAGGCATTGCGCATGCCCAGTCCTCCAGCTTTCGCTGCGACCTGCGGCCAGGACGGACTCCCCTCGAGGAGCTGGGAGGACGGGAAGAACCGGTGACCCTGGAGAGAGACAGGGCCACCGCTGTTGGGAGAAAGTGCACAGGGCACAGCCACCCTAGACCTGCAGGAACACAGGAGTCTCCCGTCCCTCTGCCCCTCTCCTGTCCCCTGTCTGTAGCGCTTGTGTCTCCCGCCACTTCTCTTTCTTCTTCTATCCCCCCCTACCTGTCTTGCTGCTCTCTCCCAGACCCACTTTTTCTTCTTGGTACAGTGATGGAGTCCAGGACCTTCACACTGAGCTACATCTCCAGCCCTGTTTTATTTTGACAGCCCTCACTAGGTCCCTACATCGCCCAGCCGGACCCTAACTTGTGGTCTTTCTGCCTCAGCCTCCCAGAGTGCTGGGATTGAAAGCTTTCCTACCGCTACCAGTCTCTACCTCCCTTTAGGTCCCTCCCTCTGCCTCCCCTCCCCTCTCCCACCTTATTTCCCTTGTCTCAGGATCCCTAGGAGTGCCAGGTTTCGCTAACCTCCACCCCTCTCTCCACCCCAGGTCCCAGGCAGGACCCCAGGCTGCGCTGGCAGGCGGACCCCGCCTTGGGCCGCTCTTTCCTGCGTGGCCCAGTGCTGGACGATGGGCAGCTGCGTGTCCACCGCGAGGGCGTCTACCAGCTGCACGTCCAGGTGACCCTGGCCAAGTGCTCCTCAAGGGACATCAGGCACCGCAATGCCACCCTGGCCGTGGGGCTCTGCTACCCCGCTGCCCGCAGCATCAGCCTGCTGCGCCTGGGCTTTGGCCAGGCCTGCACTGTGGCCTCGCAGCGCCTCACGCCGCTGGCCCGTGGGGACGTCCTCTGCGTAAACCTCAGCCTGCCGCTGCTGCCCTCCCCCAACGCTGATGAGACCTTCTTGGGCATCCAGTGGGTCAGCTCCTGACCTCACCCTGCTGAGCTGCACTGCTTGCTTTCTGTAAATACATATATGCTCCAATTTCTCCTTGACTTGTGTATTTGATGGGTAAGCAAAGCCGGGCACAGCTGGCTTAGATGGGCAGGAGACTCCTCAGTGCTGCCCAGGGCTTCAAAACCAAACCCAGGAAGTTGTGTCAGAGCCCAACTGTGGTCACAGCTCTTTGGGGGGCAGAGGATGATGATGGTAAGTTCAAGGCCTGCCTGGGCAACATAGTGAATTGAAGAGACCCTGTGTCAAAAACAATTGGCTGGGGTAGAGTTCGGTGGGTACCACACGCGCGCGTGTGCGCACGCGTGCACGCACACACACATTAAAATTAAGGTTGTGCAAAGGAATCTAAGGAAAAATGGTGAGTAAAAATCATGAAGAAGAAAAGGGACATTAGAGAACAAGTAAAAACAATATAAATATCTAGGAGTAGCAACATATACCTCTCATCCCAGCACTCCGGGAGGCTGAGGCAGGAGGATTATAATTTTGACCCCAGACTGGGGTTTTTAATGACTTAGTGAGACCCTGTCTCAAAATAAAAAATAAAAAGGACATAGGGATGTAGCTCAGTGTAAAAGCTCTGGGTTGAATCCCCCATATCACAGAAAGAAAGGGGAAAAACAGAAAGGAAGGAAGGAAGGGAGAAAGAAAGAAAATTATAAAGAAAGAAAAAAGCAAGAGAGAGGTAGTAAGGATTTAATTATGACAAAGTTGTTTTGGTTTCTTAGTTATAACAAATATATCTGACTAGTGCAAGATGCTGTCTTAGTAACTTTGGGATGCAGTAACAAAATACTTTACACTGGACATCTTATTAAACAACGTAAATGTGTTGTTCACGGTTCTTGAGGCTGGAAGTTCAAGATCAGGGGTCTGGCAGATTAAGTGTCTGGTGAGGGCTGAGTCTGCATCAAAGACTTTGAAGATGGCGCCTGTATTTAGTCCTCTTTGGAGCAAGGGGGACCCCAGCATCTTTTACAAGGATACTGGTCCCATCATTAGGGTGCAGCCCCCTTGACATAATCCCTTCCCGAAGGCTCCACGGCTTACCATTGCATCAGGTATTGGGGTCCAAAGCATGAATTCTGGGCGACACCATCATCCCAACCACAGCAGATGTCACAAGTGAGGAAGTGCCTAGGGTACGTAGGAAGCTCCACATTCCTTGCTCAGTTTTTCTGTACGTCTAAAACCATTCAAAAATATAAGATGCATTTGTTTTTAAAATAAGTGAAATAAAGATGGGGAAGGATTGCAGCAGAAAAAAAGGGATTCCAAGTTTCAAAATTTTAAGCACCAGGCTTGTTAAACAGAAGCTTCCAAGGAGATCTCCAGGACCCACGGAAAATGATATCCCACATTGTAGATTGTCTCTTAGCTCTGTTAGTGGTTTCTTTTGCAGTGCAGAAGCTTTTTGCCAAGGACTTTTTTATTTTTTATTTTTGGTACTGGGGATCGAACTCGGGACCTTGTGCTTGTGAGGCAGGCACCAGAACCACTGAGCTAAATCCCAGGCCCAGAAAATGATATCAAAAGATGGGAACTTGAAAATTCCCCTGTGCACACAAAATTGTGTGCATAACAGCATTAATTTACCATAGCCCCAAAGCAAAAGCAGCCGACAGATCAAAGGACAAATGCATGCTGGCTCCACTGTGCAACAGAGTATTCCCCAGCTGTGGGAGGACAGGGACCCGGCACTGGGCACTGCCACAGCGGGGATGGGCCCTGAGGACCCTGCGCTCAGTGACCCGAGCCTGACACAGAAGGGCACACACTGAGGGTCCCGCTCCCGGGAGGCCCTGGAGTCCTGGGATCCGCAGAGGCGGGAGGGAGGACAGTGGTGCGGGCTGGGGAGGGGCCGGAGCCACTGTTTCTTGGGGACAGAGGTGCAGTTTGGGGAGATGAGAGGCCTCTAGGGCCATGGGAATGTGCTTTATGCTGCTGAACTGTGCACCACGGTTACCTACCATCACCTGTCTGACTTTGGTGACCCAGCGACTCCTGTAGATGGAGGTGTTCCTTCTCAGTCTTTTCTTTGAGTCAGGGTCCCACTACGTAGTCCAGGCTGGCCTTGAACTCCTAGCTACCCTCCTGCCTCAGCCTCCCAAGTGCTGGGATTACAGGTGTGCGCCTTCACTCCCGGCCCTTCCCAGTCTCTCATCACCAGAACCCAGCCAGCAGTGGACATCCTTGGACGGGTCTTTTCCTGCCTAAATTTATAGGAGTGATTTCCAGGAGTGGAGCTGCTGGGTCAAAGAGCAGGTGTGCTCAACTCATCAGCATTAATCTCCATATGAAACCCTCTTTTAGGGATTGTGTTACTGCTAGTAAAATAGTGTTTTTCTCAAGATGGTAAGCCATTTAAATCATTTGCATTTGCTTTTCTGTAAAACTGTCTTTGTGGGTGTGGGGGACATTAGAGATCGAACCCAGGGCCTTCACCCTGAGCCATACCTACAGCACTTCTTGCCTTTGTAAAGCATGTATTTTAACATGCAGTTTTAGTTTTAAATAAGAGCTGTTTCAATTACTGTAACATAAAATTCATCACCAGGGGTGCAGAAAACATTAATAAGCTTATTAAATACAGCAGTGAATAAAATTAGCAGACCATGTGTTTTAAAAGTCATGTTTAATCGCCGAAAGCTTCGGTTACACTACTCAACAGAAAGATCCTTCTGCTCTGGACAGCATATTCTCTTTTTGACATAATTTCTATTTGGATCACTACTGTGCCAATAATTTTTTTTCAACTTTTAAGCCTTCCATTCCCACTCAAGCAGTAGGACTTAAATGTTAACCCTTAGAGAGTTCTTTAAAAGAAATTTTAAATTTTAATTTTCACCTCAACCTGCTTGATTTAAAAGTACAGGACATCTCTAGTACACAAGTTAAAACAGCCGAGGATTTAGCTCCGTGGTTTCGACGCCTGCTGCGCAAGCGCAAGGACCTGAGTTTAGGGGCCGGGGATTTAGCTCAGTGGTTTCGCTGCCTGCTGCGCAAGTACAAGGACCCGAGTTCCATCCCCGGTACCAAAATAATAATAATAATAATAATCACAGGTTAAAACAAAGCATGAAACAAGAATGAGATCAGCAAATTCTACACAAATACCTACACAATCAGCAAATTCTCTGATAAGACATTCTAAGTATTTGACAGTTCTAATTAGCACAAGGAAACCTTCCAAGATACCACATGGCTTGGTATTTTCAGTGCATTTAAATCCTACGGTTACGGAAAAACTTGGCTCCAAGAATATGGTAGTGTCCATAAGTAGAAATGGTTATATCCAGTAGGTGTTATTATACATAGTCAAAATAAGACAATTCTCTATAAAATTAAACTTTAAAATGCAAATGTCTTGTTAGTTACCAGATTTCTTAGAATAAGTTCAGAAAATAAATGATGTACTTGTTGATCAAAATTATTTTGGTTTGAGAAAAATGGAAATGATTTCATTGCATGAAATAAGCAATAATAATAAAAGATGTGATTAATATACTATATCTCTTAAACCTGAGCAAATTTTTCACTGAAAGAGGTCATTTCTGACTTTTCTATGAACTGTATTCTACTTGAATAGAGATCATAGTCTAAAGTCTTTTTTTTTTTTTGGTACCGGGGATGGAACTCGGTTCCTTGCACTTGCACAGCAGGCAGCGAAACCACTGAGCTAAATCCCCACCCTAAAGTCATTTTTTAACCCATAGGATGCTTTCATTTCAGTAATAAGCTGCTACATGGCAAATAAATCAAGTACATATAAAGAATTGGTACTATAGATAGAATATCCTTTCTCTGAAATGCATGTGTTATGGCTTGTGTCTAGCTGTACCCCCCAAACCCTCATGAAGTCATAGGTGGGGTTTTTCAGAAGTGGCTGGATCTAGGTTGTGTGATGCTGGAATTAAGAGTGTGTGATTAGGGCCTGGGATTTAGCTCAGTGGTTCTGATGCTTGCCTCGCAAGTGCAAGGACCCGAGTTCTATCCTGGGTACAAAAAAAAAAAAAAAAAGAGTGTGTAATTACTAAACAAGTCCACTGATTGATTAGGCATAGTTCTGGGTAGGTTTAAGGATGCACCACCTTGGATATGAGTGCTTATTACCCTAAGGGCAGGCACCCTGGATAAAATATAAAGGAACAGAAAGAATCTGTTGTTTGTCCCTTGTAGCTTTCCACCTTCTATCTGCTCTATGATGCCCCTCTGCCATGTGCCAGCCCTGCCAACTATGAACTGAAACCACTACAAACTGTGAGCTAAATAAACCTTTCCTCCTTCAATTTTGGGTGTCGGGTATTTTGTCTCAGCAACAAGAAAAGTAACTAAGACAGTGTGGGAATAGAAATGTTTTAGATTTTTTTTTTTCAGATTTCAAAATATTTGCATACACACGAAATATCCTGTTTTGATGTTGCTTTTGGGGGGGCAGTGGGAGAAGACAGGGTCTTGCTATGTAGTTCAGGCTGGCTTTGAACTCTCAGAGATCCTCCTGCCTCACCCTCCCGAGCTCTGGGATGACAGATATGCATCACCACACTCAGCTGCATGAGCTATCTTGAGGAAGGGACACGAGTCTAAACACTGAATTCACTTATTTCATATAATCCAAAGGTAATGTTATATAGTACTTTTAGTGCTTTTTTGTGGTATGGGGGATTGAACCCAGGGCCTTGAGCTTCAGCTACATCACCAATATTTTTTGCTTTGAGACTGGATTTGGCTATGTCACTAAATGACCAGTCTGGACTTGAACTTGCAATCCTCCCTCCTTAAGGTGCTGGCATAACAGGTGTGTCCTACCACACCTGACCATTGCACTTGTATTTTGACTTAGACCCGTGAGAGGTCAGGTGTGGAATCCCCCCACCCCCTGACAACTGCACATGAAAAGTTTCAAATTTCCGAGTAAAATGAATAACACGTGCTAATTTATTTTAACTGCCAAAAGTTACCTGCAAGCTTCTATACTCCAGCCTGAAAGTGACTACCATCCTGAGGTCAGATTCTAGGGTGATTCATCTG